TCAAAAAGACAAAAAAAAAAAAAGTTACAGAATATCAAGGATTCCCGGTGCCTTAGTCCTCTGTCTCATACATACCTCAATTGTTTCTGAGATGTAGTTAAAAAGAAATTTTCACCACAAACAGTGATCCATGAAGTATAATCTGAGGGAGCAGAAGCTAAGTCACAAAGAGGCTGTGGGATCAAACAGCAGCACTGAGCCCAGGAGGACAGACAAAACAGACAGGCAGATCTTCAAGGTCTGAGATTTACGAAACCACCTTTCCAAAAACAATTAAGCCAGGCATGGTGGTACATACCTTTAATCGCAGCACTGGGGAGGCAGAGGCAGGCAGGTCTCAGTGACTTCAAAGCTAGCCTAGTCTACGTAATGAGTTCCAGGCCAGCTGAAACTACAGGGAGACCCTGTCTCAAAAAGACCAAAAACTTAACAAAAATAAGGACAAAATTAATGGGTAAAGTCCAATCTATTAGGCACTTTTTTTTTTCATTAAACCAACCAAACAATAAAACAGAACAATAACAGCAAAACAAACATGGCTACAAAACACATTTTATAGCCATGGGCTCGAAATGTAGCTCAATTTGTAGAGAGGGCTTGCTAGCATGCAAGAGGCCCTAGGCTCCATCCCTCGTAACACAAGAGCCTAATCTGGGCACACCTGTTCTCCAATGCCAAGGGCTGAGAAGGTGGAGTTAGGAGAATTAGATGTTCAAGGTCATCCTTCCCAACATAAAGCACTCAAGCCAAGGCTGGGTTAAAGGATACGTGTCTCAAAAACAGCAAACAGAAAAACAAACCAGAAAGTTTTAAGGCCAGAGAAGGTGGGACAGACCTGTAACCTGTAATCCAGCTCTTGGTAAATCTATGAAGGAAGATCAGGAGTTCATGCCCAAGTTCAGTTATACAGTGAGTTCAAAATTAACATTGGCTACTGAGACCCAGTCTCCAATAAACGTTTTTAAAAACTAAAAGTAAAGATAATTACTAGGCTTGGTGGCTCACACCTTTAATACCAGCTCTTGGGAGGCAGAGGCAGGCAGATCTCTGTGAGTTCGAAGCCAGACTAGTCTACATAGTAAGTTTCAGGCCAGCTGAGGCTACAGGGAAACCCTGTCTCTAAAACAAACAAACAAACAAACAAAAAAGTAAAGACAATTTAGTCTGGGATGGATAGAATCCTAGCAATATGAAGTAGATGTAGAAAGATCATTTGTTTCAGGTGAACCTATGGAGTTCTAGGCCAACCTGGTCTACATGAAACCCTGCCCTTGAAATCCAAATGAGGAAGAAAGAAATTTTCAAATAAACTTCAAGCAGGGGTTCGGACTTAATTCCATCACTCAGAAAGGTGGTACATCTGGATTCCTACATGTTTGAGACCATCTGGTCTACCCAATAAGACCATGTCTCCAAAAGCAAAGAAAAAGTATTTTTAAATTGAAATACACTAAAATATCAGTCAAGACATTTGAGTGACCTATATCTGGAATTGTAGCTCTTGGGATACGAAAGCAGGAGAAAAAAAAATGCCATGAGTTAAAGGCTACCCTGTGCTACAAAGACAGACCCAGTTTGAAAACATAAACAAAAATAATAATTTGATATGATCCAGATCACAGAGACACAAGCCAGTTGTCCTAGTGCTGGCCAGTCAGCCAATTGGCCAACCTCTCAGCCAGTTCTGGGCCAGCCTGAGCAGCACAGCAAGGCTCTGCCCCCTAACAGTGCCCAGGAAAACCCTGAAAGTAAGCAAGATAAGACATCTGAGCTGAAGGTTCAGCTGCATGTAGAATCAAACCAATGACTCCACTCTGGTCATCGAGAGAGACAGAAGTTAAGATTTCCCCTTGAATGTAATGCTCCAGTGGATACTCGCAAGCCTTCATCTAATGGGGTGACCTGGGAGGGGTGAGTGACTTACCAAGTCTGGACACTGAAGAGGGGGTTCCAAATTCCAGCAGAGCCAGCAGGTTACTCAAGCGCCAGGACTCTGAGTCTCTTGTCTGCTCCTCTGAGCCTCCACCTATCACACTTCCCGTGTGTGGCCCCAGCTCCCACCAACGAACTGCCATCTGATTGGAGCTTTGAAGCCCCACCCACTCCATCCCACTTGGGATTTTGCTTTCTCAGATGGATTGGATCACACCTCGGAAGGAAAGGGAATGAGTTGGACTAACTCCTGATAGGATGTTTGAGGCTCCATCCACTTAATCCTGCTGGGGATTTTGCTTTCTCAGATTGACTGAGGGAATGTGAAGGGAATGAATGAGGCTAGGGTGAAAGTTCAGAGTCTATGCATGGAATCACTCCAAGATCACTGAGTTTTAGGCACTTATTTGTTTATTATTTATTAATGTTGGATTTCTGTTTTGAGATAAGGTCTCACACTTTAGATCGAGCTTACTTGGGTCTCATTATGTAGCCAGGTGGGAGCCTGAGGAGACAGGGAGTTACTGAAACTCTCAGGGGGCTTCCTTGGGATATGGTACATGTTGCTCAGGATGGTTCTTCCTGGGTGATGCTCACTGGTCTCATATGACCAGCGCTGGGTTTTTATTGACGTTGGGCTGACCACTGACTTCCTTCATCAGCCCATTGATCTCAGTGGCTGAAGGATGCCTGCCTAGTTGGGTGCAAATCTCGAAAGCTTTCTTCTAACCCCTGCAGATGAAATCAAAAGTCTAGGTGTCTGCTCAGAGGACACAGTACATGCGGTTTCAGATGCCACCTCATGTGAGGGGGAAAAAAAAGTAACAAAGGAAAGGTTCACATGTGGGGACAGGACTCATGAACCTGTGTCCCACAGAGTGAGAAAT